TAGTGCGTCTGTTCCTGGCTGGCTTGCCGTTGATAGCTAACTAATAAAATTGCCTATTTATGAAGTCCCAGATTGCAGAGCAAGGCTCAGCGTGGGCGATGTTAAAAACATTGTATGCTTAAAGCATTTATCCACAGCTTTAACATTTAATTTTATATTGTATTTTTATCCAGCAAAAACTTCTTAAAACTTTTAAAATTATATTATACATCTCATAGTAGCCAACCAGTAGTTTCGCAATGACAAGCGGTACATAAAAATATGATGAAATATTAAACTGACGGTAATTTAGTATATTGTACGAAAATATTCGTCTGTTGTACGAATTTTAAAAAAATGTTTCTGCATTTGTTCTATGTACGAAAGTATTAAGTAAATTGTACGAATACAGAATTGTAGATTTCGTAAATTTTAAAACCATACCTAATATTACGAATGCTTTCGTACAATATACAAAATTATTCGTACAGAGATTTGTTCAGTAATTTACAAATGTGTTTCTTAAAATAAACGTAAGATTTCGTAAGTTGTACTGAAAAAAGGCTTTACGAAAGTCCTTTCGTTATATTTACGAATGGTTCGTAAAATCTTGTTTCGTTGTGGAAAATGTGTTCGTATTATGAACGACAGTTTCGTACATTATACAATAACGAAGACTACGAAAGTTTTTCCTAGCACTTTTACGAAATTTTATTTTCAGTGTAAGAACATAATTTAAGTTTGCAAGCATTGAAGTATTAAAATGTATAATTTAAGTTATATTATTTAAATTTTTATAATCAACATTATTCTCAGTTTCCGCATTTCAATAAATTCCCCCCAACCCTGTTCTTATATTGTGTAATATGAGATAAATATTAGAAGATAAAGCCTCATAAAATTAATTGTGAACAAAGAGGAAAAAACATGTATGCATGTATATATCAATTACATTGCTAAGCTATATTTTTGTATGTTTCCATGTAATGATAAATGTATACAATAAAAATCCGAGTGGTAATGCACCTTTCTCCTTAAACTGTCAATAATTTTGTGTGGCGATTTCGAGCGTTATTATGTGTTGGAACAAAGAGTCATGCGCGGAAAGACCAAGTGCAAAGCGCCCTACGAGTTGGGTGAGTATGCCGCGCATAAGGGCGATACACAGACTAACAAAAAATTCGATATCTGCGGAACGGATTGGACGAACAAAATTATTTATACAGATTATGAACAGTGTTGCCGTTTTAGCCCTTTGGTGGCTAAATTTGGCTACCAAATTCTTTTTTTGGCCACAAAAATTTGAAATTGCCCCTAGCCCTTTTTTTAGCCCTTTTCAAAATTTATTCATCATTGACATTCAAATTTTTTTTTATGATTTTCATGAATTTAACTCTTCGCTCATAAAGCGAAGTAAACATATTTCTATGTATGTTCCTTACGTTTCTGGGCCGTTATCTTATCCGTTAACGATTTAACTATACTTTAAAATAGGTAAGTTGGTGGCCCTTAATATGCTTTATGTGTTACACAAAAAGTTTTTTTTGTTGAATAAAATAGTAATTCTTTTCAGAGTTCATTGTTTTTCTATACCAGTAATTATAGAAAATGTTTGCGTGTATACTTACATATTTATACTAGCAGTACTCCGGTGTGCTTCTCTACACCAAATATTGAAAAACGAATGAAAAGTCCTGGAATTTTTCTATATGAAAATTTATCATTTATTTTATTTCAAAATTTTTGATTCTTTATTTTAAATCTTAATCCAACAGATTTGGATATACAACATTTTTTGTTTTTCCATCTTGGGTATGAATAAATAAACAATTTGGAATGCCAACTCTTGAACAGGCCACGTATAGCTACCAATTCCAGTAATCTACCACAAATATTTCAAGAGATATACCAGATGAGAATTTTTGTTAGTATGGGTGGTGCCACGCCCCCTTTTCACAAACCATCTGCTTAATAGCCCGACTATGCCGTATAAATTTGGTTGAAATCTTGCACTTATTCTTTATATATAAGATGTGAGGTGCCACGCCCTCTTTTCCAATACTGCCCATTTTTATCCATGAGTATGGAATTATTTGTTATACCTCTATACCAACTTCCAGTACTCTACCACAAATATTTCAAGAGATATACAACAAAAAAATTTTAGTTAGTATGGAAGGTGCCACACCCCCTTTTACGAATTCGGGCAAACTTCACATAAACCATCTGCATGATAGCCTGAATATGCCGTATAAATTTGGTTGAATTCGGTGAAGCCGTTCTCAAGTTATAAGCTCACACCAAAAACGTGTACTTATTTGTATACATAAGATACATACATATGCCACGCCCCTTTTCCAAATTTGGGAAAACTCCACATAAAATATCTGCATGATGGCCCGAATATGCCGCATAAATTTGGTTGAATTCGGTGAAGCCGTTCTTAAGTTATATTGTCACACCAAAAACGTTCACTTATTTTTATATTTTAGTTACTATGAGTGGTGCCACGCCCCCTCTTCCGAATTCGGGAAAACTTCGCATAAACCATCTGCATGATAAATCGAATATGCCACATAAATTTGGTTGAATTTGGTGAAGCTGTTTTCAAGTTATGAGGTCACACCAAAAACGTGCACTTATTTTTATATATAAGATGTAGGTAAAAAAATTTAGCTACCATTTTTAGCCACAACGACGATTTTTAGCTCTTTTTTAGCCCTTTTTTAGCTGGAATTTAGCTACCACTAAAAATGTTTCGCGGCAACACTGATTATGAAAGGTAAACGTTTTCCGCGTAATCTGACACTAGCTTTATTAATTTACAGCGTGAAAAAACACGAAAAAATTGCAATTGTTTATGAAAAATTATTGCAAAATGTTACTGTTTAACACTTATAGCATAACTAAATAAGTAGTATATAGTATACACATTTGTCTATAAGTGTACCAAATTTCATACAAATATCTTTAGTAGTTTACGAGAAATTGATTTTACAATTATGTATAACTTGCAATACTCGCAAATTTCAATTGCTAATAAAATAAACAAAAAGCGTAATATGAAAAAAATATTTATACCATTAAGTACATGGCGGATTCCCTATCCAAAAATGTATTTATTATTAAAATCGCATTTGACAGAAATTTTTGGGCCTACTTGACGTGGTTTGCCATTGCAGAGCGAAAGGTAGCGTTGCGCAAAGGCTACAATATAAGAAGGCAAAATTTTTCAGTATAATGAAAACCCTATTTGTAATTGATTTCTCTTCTATATTTAAGTACTACAAACATGACTTGTGATGTAACGCTTAGCTACGTATCACTTTTGTTAACCAAAAATAATTTCATGACTTTACTAGTCTTTCTGCTTCTTTATTTAAATCACGTTAATTTTAGTTGAAGTATTAAGCCGTTCTTTTTTGCCAATTTAGCCGGTCGGCCCAAAAAGTTCTGGCAACACTGATTAGAATTTACAAAAGTTATTTCACTACTAATTGACTACTTTATTTACATTTGTACTATCATTTTCGCACCAAGGGATTCCAATCTTTACCGTTTCTCCGTCTTTCGTAAACACAAATGAGTTTCAAACCGTGGCTGTCAATAATTATCAAAACTTTTATTATTGAATCATGCTTGAGAAGTAAAGAATCTCGCTTTGGTTTTATTTAATTTATGTGTATACATATACATACATACGTTGTTCGGTATTCTTGATAATCGGGCATGTGCTGCAAATCGTATGATTTGAAATCGGTGTGATTTATAAAGCCCACTTTGGAGATTTCTTAAAAAAATGGCAAATTTTGGCACTGAATCGATAGATATGACGTAAATGATGTGTTTCTCGCTATTTCCATTTGAAATATTTATTACTTTCTTTAAAAATATTCAAAAATAGTATGCAAATCGCACCGATTTCAACTCGTACGATTTGCAGCACATGCCCGATTATCAAGAATACCGAACAACGCATGTATGTATGTATATGTATACACATAAATTAAATAAAACCAAAGCGAGTAAAGTATTAGAGAAAAATGGCTTAATGGTCTGATAAGTTCAAGGGTTCCAGTTCCGGAAGAACTGAAATCAGCAAAGGCGAATATTTTCTATATAATCGCTGTATTTTATTAATTGCTAACTCGATATTCTTTTTCTGCATCAAAGCAACTGTCAAAAATTTCCAGCAGTAAAAAGTTACGAATTGGCACAGCAGAAATGTAAAATTTTCTCACCATAGTAAAAAGTTTTTCCACCATAGCACAGGCCCTTTATTATACTAAAATGAGCTATACAACTGCATACTTATGCGAAATCTTTCTAGGAAATCTAATTAAAGAAATCGAGATTGTGATGAACATTTTTTTAACTTAATGAAAGTATGCTCTGTCGGTGGTTGTGGCACCAGGTTGGGGGCCACTGAAGTACACGGGTTTGTCGCTGGTTGTGGCACCAGTTTGGGGACCACTGAGGTACACGGGTTTGTCGCTGGTTGTGGCACCAGGTTGGGGACCACTGAAGTAGTTGGATGCTTCGACGAGCGTAGAGTGTAGTGCATTTGAAGTGCTAGGAGGGCTGCCCAAAATAATATTGTGCGCGCATCTCCTCTAACGGCTTGGTCAAATACAAACTCTGTTCTTTGTTTTTTTGTTTTAATCAATAAAAGCTGTATGTATATTTATAAAAATTTCTCACTTTATTACTTGGCTCTGTTCTTATTATAGCTCCGGCGTGTTGCCCAAATCAGTATTGTGCGCACACGCAGTGTTGCCGTTGAGAATTTTCAGAAAGTCGCAAAAAAAGGGTAATTGACGAAAAAAAGGGTCACCTTATTATTTTTGCTTTTCTTTACTAGTAAAAGAATAAATCTGAGAACCAAAGTCAAAATCTAATTTACATGTACATATTATAAAGTCTTTTCGCTGCTGAATTTTAAAAGAAAATAGCGGTAAAAAATTTGCATAAAACACAAAAATCGAGTTGCTGCAGGGAGAAGAGCATTTCCTTTAAAAGTGATGAATTTTTTCGTAATTACAGGAGGAAATATTTTATAAAAGCATGGTTCTGTTAAAATTTCATAGAAAAATCTCTGAAAAGGGGCAAAAGTCGCACATAATTTTGGAAAAGGGTCAAAAATCGAAATTTTTAAAAAGTCGGGTCAAAGGGTATTGGCACTTAAAAAGGGTCAAATTGCCCCTTTAGTCGCACAACGGCAACACTGCGCACACGTCCGATGCTACCGCAAGCTCGCAGCCAATTGAATTTTCGATCGTCGGCAAGTTAAAGCGCAAGCAACGAAACCAACATGGGTTGCCGTGGTGCATTTGCTAGCGCTGCACAAAAAGGGGTTTGGTACTCTATTACACAAAACCCCGCAGGGTCGCAATGGTTTTACAAATCTATTACATTACATTACATGGTGTTTACATTGATTTAAAACGATCAGCATTAAAATTAATGAACAATGAACAGAGTGAACGAATTATAAAATGTGAGATTGCGTCAATCTTCCCCTGCTGAAATCGTCCCGATGAGGCAGCCTACTTCCGAGTCTTCCGTGGACGCCCCGTCGGCGTATAATGTTGACAGGAGTCTCGCGGGCATCTCTGGCACTTACATAAGGAGTGAGCGCTGATGCGCGGTACATACCGAGTGGTTGTAAATCGTCTTCGTGCGCGATAACGTACGTAGTTGCACCTTAACGTTCTATGATGACGTAGGGCCCATCACGTCTTGGAGCGAACTTCGAGGTTACTCCCTTCGTTGCATTGCTCAAGACGTGGGTAGTGACCAAAACCTTCGACCCCACTTTGAGAGGGTTGTGTTCACGTCGCTGGGTTTCGTCACTTCTTTGTTGGCATCTTGCTATCTTTCTTCGCGTTCTTTAGCCTCCTTGAACGCGTCAGCTATAGTAGCCAGATAAGGAGTGATCTCTGGTATGAAGTTTTGAGAGTGTATCACTGCTCTCACTTCGTGCTGGACATTGTCTACAGTGCGTCGGTTTCAGGTTCGTTGCCTTATAGCGTTGACAGTCTGTGCAGTTGTTTACGTGTCTTTTGATATCTTGACGAATGCCAGGCCAGTAATAGTGGGAGATTATTTTGGCCGCTGTTCGGTCAACTCCATAGTGACCTGCCATGTCTTTATTATGGGTATAACCAATTGTGCTTCTTCGGTGTTTTCATCATGATAGCAATAGAGAACACCATCATTTATTACATATGTATCCTCTCTTTTCTTCGAATCATTGGAAGATGCGCTTCAATTCTGGATCTTAAGTTGGCTTTCGCGGATGTCCTTTGCGCCCATTCGTGGGAACTCTACGTCGAAAGAGCATATTGTGCACGTTTCCACATCGTCGTGATTTGCTTCACAGGGTGGCCTCGATAGCATATCAGCCACAACATTAGTTTTCCCCTGGCTGATACTCGACTCGCATGTTGTACGGTTGTAAACTTAACGCCCACCGTGCCAAGTGACCGGTTGGTGACTTCAAGGTCATCAGCCATTTGAGGGGTTGATGATCAGTGATCAATGTAACTTCGGACCCTCGATATAGCCTCGATACTTTTGTACAGCCCACACAATAGCGAGTGCTTCTCGTTCGATCGTCGAGTAATTTTGTTCCGCTTTCGTTAACAGTCGGCTGGCGTACTCTATGGGGTGCTCGTTGGGGCCCTCCCCCTGGAGTAGAACTGGCCCAAGTGCGTAGCCGCTGGCGTCAGTTTTGAAGAAAAAAGGCAAATCGTCATCTACTTGCTTTAGAATCGGTGAAACTACCAATAGACCTTTCAGTTAGGCCTGGGTAACGGCGCAAATTTTTTGGCGCTGACACATTAACTCCAGCGCCACTGTCGGAATCAGCACAGTGTGTTGGCACAATTGTGCCTCTTCAGGCTAAAGCTCATTTCCTTTATTGCTGCACGCTGCACCAAAGTGAATTAATACAAGGTGATATGGGTTGAGAAAAAACTCAAGTATACCCAAGTTCAAAACCCAAAAATACAACAAATCCATCATTTTCACATTCAGAAGGACCGCGACAAATTCTAGCAACACCACCTTGTATAAATTCGCCTTGTGCTGCACATTTTACAAGAGACACTTCTATTGCGGATGTTCTTTGCTGGTTCTTTGCGACACCCGGTGTTGTCAGTGTTCCGGTGTTGAGCTAAGGTGAATTAATACAAGGTGGTATCGGTTGGGCAAAAACAACTCAAGTATACCCAAGTTCAAAACCCAAAAATACAACAAACACATAATTTTCACATTCAGAAGGACCGCGGCTAATTTTAGCAACACCACCTTGTAAAAATTCGCCTTGTGCTGCACATTTTATAAGTGACACTTCGTTTTTTGTGTTCTTTGCTGGTTCTTTGCGGCGCCCGGTGTTATCAGCGTTCCGGTTTTGCTGGCGCCATTGCGTCACTGAGTTGTGAAAATCGGTATCGGCGCCAGTAACTCAGCTGTCGGTATCAGCGCAATGGCGCGGCGCCGCACTGTGTTACCCACGGCTACTTTCAGTTTCTCGAAGGCGTTCTGTTGCTCACTGGCCCACAACCAAGTAGCGTTTTCCTTTAGAAGTTGTGACAGTGGTTTGGATACATCGGCAAAGTGGGGAACGAAGCGCCTGTACCAGGAACACGCTTGTACTCACTGCACGCAAATCTGCACTTTTCTTTGTTGATTTTGAGGCCGAAATAACGCAGACGATCAAAGACTTTCTGTAACTCTTTCAAGTGATGTTCGAAACTTATTGAACACTAAATGATATCGTCTAAGTATGCGACCAGTGTCAGACCGGACAGCGATACCTTTAGACGGTCACTGAGACGTTGAAAAGTTGCTGGTGTGTTTCGCAGCCCAAATGGCATACGAGTGAATTTGTACATTGCGAATGGTGTGACGAAAGCCGTTTTGTCTTGGTCTTGTTTCTCTACGCCAATCTGCCAGTAACCACATTGTAAAACGATCGTAGACATAAACTTCGAAGTTTTGGCATCATGCAACAGATCGTCGATGCGCGGAAGCGGGTATCGGTCTGATTTGGTTATAGCATTAAGCTCCCGATAATCGATACAAACTCGTACACCTCCTGTTTTCTTCGGAACCATGACGACTGGTGCGGCCCACGGCGAGTCAAACTCGACTATTACCCCACTTTCTAACATCTTTTCAATTTCGCTCTTTAGTTCACTTTTGCGTGCTGATAACAAACGGTATGGAGGTAAAGCGAGAGGAGCATGCTTTCCAGTATCAATCTTATGCGTAACGAATGGTGTTGCTGAAGTTGGTTCAGCGAATAAATCCGCGTTTTCCAATAACAAGGAGTCTAGCTTTGATCTTCTGGCCATCCGATAAGTCTATAGCATCATTTCCTTGCAACATAGTTAAGTATATGGAATGGATGTCCAAATATTTATCGTCGTACGAGTCCTCATTTTGAACTTCCATTGGTGGTGCAAACAGTCGTGATGTATTTTCAGGTGCACCTTCACCAACAGGAATTGAATCCCTGAAAATATTCTGAATCGAGTGTGGCGAATATTCATTGTTTTGCTTGCGGTTCTCGAGTTTTTTTTTACAAAAAAAAAAACAATTTCTGGGATACGAGGCGCTTTACTCATTCGTTAACCATTTTCAACAAAATCGACAAACTTCGACTTGTTGTTCATGTCTGCTATACCGACGCCCGAAATTTTGCAGGCGTTGATATATTCCCCAGCAATATCCATTGCAGAGAGCTGACTGTCTACGCTGGGTTTGATGAAATCATATTTCATCTTCGAAGTACCAAGGCCTTTGCGCCATGTTCAGCTCTATGCCAGCCTGCTCCATGAAGTCAGCACCAATAAGAGTACGGTTTTTAGTAGCATTCGGTAAGGAAACTAGCCGAATTTTCATCTGACGATTACCTATTGTGATATCGCAAATGGTTGACAATACTTTTTGCGTCGTGGTGGTGCCATCTGCCAATGTAACCTCAGCTTTGACGTCCTGAAACACACAAACCTTGTGAGTCAAGATTTTCTTTAATTTTGCGCTGGCAATGCTTGTTTTTGCGCCAGTGTCGAATAAAGCTTCGCCTTTTAACCCAAACATATCAATGTGGACGGACGGTAATTATCTACCAACAATGGTGGTTGAGATGCTATTAAAGGAGACATATTGTGGACTCTCTTTATTTCGCCCACTACAGTTGTTACAGTTTGAACGGTCTACTCCCGGAGCACCGCACCCGTAGCATGCGAATGTGGCATTTCGTCTCGCTCCTACATTTTTTGAAGCGGATTCAACTGTACTTGATACGTTCGCTTGTTGCTGTTTTTGTAGTACCTCTTTTTGTGATTGTTGTTGCTTTTTACGCTTCAGGCAAACCTCGACGGTGTGCCCACGAATACGGCAAAACGAGCATCGCTTTGGGTTTTCCACGTGCTTTTGATCGGCGTGCTTTACCGCCAGTGCACTCTGTGTAACTTCTTGTAAAAACATTTCTGCTTCGCGGCTGCATTTCAAGAGTTCATCGAATGTTACGCACATTTCACGGCGAACGCGATCTCTTATCTTAGCGGACAAGAGGCCGTAAATCATGTTGACTTCTACAGTCTCACTTATGCTGTCTTTAAGATGCGAAAATAGTAGCCGTTTCTTGCATATAAAGCTGTCGGTTGGCTCTCGCGCTAGTTGCTTGTGCTCAAAAATTTGCAAAAATATTTTCCAACCGGGAGTTGGCGGTGAAAATGTCGTGGGGATCAAGTCGATAGCTTCAGAAAATGTAGCCACCTTCTCTTTCACTCCAATCCACCACATTACTGCTTCCAAACGTAGTGACATTCCACGCAATGCGTTTGCGTCGGAAGCTTCTTCGATGTCTTTATATATGGTAATAGCTGCGAGGAACTCTTCCACAGCCTCGGGGCTTCGTTGTCCACGGAAACGCGCAGTGCATCCAGTAAACGAGCCCTTATTTTTGTCACTCGCTAACGCTGCCAAAATTTGTTGAAATTGCTCAGACGAAAACGTTGCCATTGTTCGCGGCCGCTAAGTTGGGCGCCAATATAAAAGTATGATCTGTCGGTGGTTGTGGCACCAGGTTGGGGACCACTGGGGCATACGGGTTTGTCGCTGGTTGTGGTAACAGGTTGGGGCCCACTGAAGTAGTTGGATGCTTCGACGAGCGTAGAGTGTAGTGCATTTGAAGTGCTAGGAGTGCTGCTCAAAATAATATTGTGTGCGCATCTCCTCTAACGGCTTGGTCAAATACAAACTCTGTTCCTTGTTTATTTTTATAATTAATAAACGGTGTATGCCCTTTATAAAAACTTTCTCACTTTATTTCTTGGCTTTGTTCTTATTATAGCTCCGGCGTGTTGACCAAATCAGTATTGCGCGCACACGTCCGATGCTGTCGCAAGCTCGCAGCCAATTGAATTTTCGTTCGTCGGCAAGTTAAAGCGCAAGCAACGAAACCAACATGGGTTGCTGTGGTGCATTTGCTAGCGCTGCACAAAAAGGAGTTTGGTACCCTATTACACAAAACCAAGCAGGTTCGCAATGGTTTTACAAATCTATTACATTACATTACATGGTGTTTACATTGATTTAAAACGAACAACATTAAAATGAATGACCAATTAAACAGATTGAAAGAATTATAAAATGTGATATTGCTTCTACTTCAATTAGTTTTTGTAAACTTTGTGCGAGCTTTGAATCTTTTGTTTATGTGGAATCTTATAAGGATCGACCTATATTTTAAATGAATATCGTTAACAATAAATAAATAATAATAAATTCCAACAGTATCATTTTGAACTTTGTTGCTATTATTTTGACCGCAATTGTATCTCTTACATTGTTTTTATGGTTTTGTCAATTATATGTCTACGTACATACATACATATTTTTGCATAGATTAAAAAGTGTTGTCATGAAATTAGCGAAATTTATCACAAGTTTATAATTAAATCTTCGTTGAAATGGATCACCTTTGTCAATATATGGGTTCGTAGTTTGGCTTTTAAAACAAATCCTTTATTTCTCATTTGTCCCGTTAAATTTTTGCAAACCCCGTATTTTTGGGACAAATAATGCCTTTGTCCCGTATGACTGGAAAAAAATCTGGCAACACTAGTACACATATGTACAAATGTAAGAGATCACTTGGTTTTTAATGTATTGCGGTTTCTTGTTTTTTATGTTTTTTTTTTTTAGTAACATACCTTCGGCCCAAGGTTGCTATTCACTCTGCTGTCTGTAAATTCGCCCAACTAATCTACTTTTTTTGTGCGCTGGCCATTTTGAAAATTTTTTTTGATCTTAAATGAAGAACCGATGGTGTCGGTGCAAAGAAATCAGAAAAGAAATCAGAATTTGGTGTAATGAAGTGGGAGGAAATTGTTTGCTCAGCGAAAGTTAATCAAAGCAGACATTTGCGCCGAATAATGCTTTGACGGCGATAGAAAACAATTATAAACATACCGCGCAAGAAGTATGTACAAAGAAAATCTTTTTCGAGAAATTTTTAAGGGCAGCCAGTAAAATATATGTATATTAATTTCAATATGAAAAGTTTAAACCAAATAATAATCCCCTTTAAATCCCCACATCCCCAAATGAGGTGAAATCCCTATATCTGGCCCCACTGCCAGCTATGATCTAAAGCGGTGGTGGGCACCAGCCTGTTCGCGGGCAAAGTTCTTTAAAGCTTTATGCACATTTAGTACACTGAGGGAAATAATGCATAGTCAAAATGAATACTTTATATTTAATTGCCGTTTAAAAATGTTGGTATTTAAAAATAATATTTTCATACAAACAAGTAAGAAAGTCTAAGTTCGGGCGGAGCCGAACATTAAATACCCGGCGCAAGTATCAAATATATGTTTTCCACCTTTCCGAAAGCTACCGCTACATGATAAGCCGGGGTGTATAAATTTTAAGTAAACTAGCGTCCTTAAATTTCGAAATATTGAAATTTCAAGCATTTCTGAAATTTACCGTTATATGAAAAGCGGCCGTAATTTTAGTCCGATTTCAACAATTTTCAATGGTTTGCTTTTATGTGGCGAGCACAATAACCATACCGAGTTTGGTACAAATTGCTAGAACGGTTAGCGAGATACATATATATGATCATAAGTGGGCGGTGCCATGCCCATTTTATCATAAGCGTATTTCCTGGTAAAGAATTGTTGCAACCATCAAATTTTGAATAAATTAGCTTTAATATTTACCGATTTATCGAGGATTTCGTATTTATCGAAATTCCCGTTATATGGGATGTGGGCGTGGTTACTGTCCGATGTTAAAAATTTTCGGCCATTTGGTATGCTGTAACAGGGCCAACAAATGTGCCAAGTTTCGAAGAAATTGGTGCAGCGGTTACCAATATATGCACTTGTAACCATAAGTGTGCGTGGCTACGCCCATTTTCAAAATATTTCAATATTCTTATTTATCGTCTAAAATGTATTGTAAATATCAATTTTGAGTGAATTATCTTCAGTAGTTACTAAAATATCGCAGTTTTTGTATTTCTGAAAATTACCGTTATATGGGAGGTAGGCGTGGTTATTGTCCGATTTTGCCCATTTTCAACACCATCCGTCCTACGCCCGAATGAAGTACACGCACCAAGTTTCGATAAGATATCTTAATTTTTACTCGAGTTATCGTGTGCACAGACGGACGGACGGACGGACAGACAGTCACCGCTTAATCGATTTCTCTTTTCATTCTGATCATTTATGTATACATTTGTCTATATCTATCTCGATTCGTTTTGCCTGTTACAAACAACCGTTATGTGAACAAAGTTATAATACCCTTGTGTTGACTGTTTACATCTCAGTATGTATATGTAAGTGTAAATATCCAGTGGGAAAATACCAAGAAAAGATTAATAACTACGGTTGAACGAAAAGATGCATCGCAATGTAAGCGAGCTGATGATGTGTAGTTTTGAAGCGACAAACAAAACAAAAAGTTTGAAAACTAACTCAAGCATGTTTTTTGTTCAACAGCTGCTGTACCCGAATGGATGCGTGTTCTTCTGCCGAGTTGTTGGTCACGGGTTCAAAACCTGTGGCACGGACTATATTTTTTATTTTTATTTTTTTATACTATTTATAGATTCTATTTATAGTTTCGTAAAGCGACATGCGACATATTACTTTCGTATGACATCGCTGTGGAGAAATTCTTGCATCTTTTCGTGCGTATATACTACATTACTTTTTGCATTCCTATAGATCAGAGGTGGGCACGTTTTTGCCCGCGCAGCAGCGAAAGGGCGAGCGCGGGCTAGAGAAAGGGAAAAACAGTTTACGGGAGGAAGGGTATGAAAAGTTGCGAACAAATTATTTATATCTCCACCAACATCATGTTCATCGCAGTACGGCTGCGGTGTAGAGGTGCAAAACTATCGATGGCACTATTGATAGTATCGATGTTTTTTATTTTTCCCTACTATTGATTGTTTTTTGGTCCTATCGATAGTCCGACAGACATGTGATTCACTATTTATTTTAGTTTTATTTCTTCTTTTCTTTTCATTTCTCTTAAACATCCAAGTTGAACTAAAAATTTGATTGCTACTTTTTTAAAAGAGTAATGTCAAAATTCGAAAATGACGGAAAACCTTGCATCTTTTAAAATACCGCTAAAAAACTGATACAAATTAATTTATACCAAAACTTTCAATGTTATCTATGTACCACTATTTATTATTTAATAAAAGGTAGATAAAAACCATTACTTCTCAGATAAAAAATGTTTTCTTCTTCTAAAATTTAAATTTACTTGATGAATGCCATATATATGACGGAGGATATCGAAAACCACAAATATAAAATTTCAGTACGCCCAATTTTATTTCATTTCAATTCATTTAAAATTTTCAATAACTTTACTTCTAACTTGACGGTTAAACAATTAAAAAAAATGTCCAGCAGTTTACAAGGTTATCGAAACGTAATTTCGGAATATATTCTTAAGGAAATCTTCATACGAAAATTGAGCCAAAACCATATAAATACGATACTATCGACAACATATTTAGAAATAATATCGAAAACTATCGATGGCCTGACCAACGATAGTTTTGCACCTCTACTGCGGTGATACTGACTTTGTGCACCAAACAAAGAGCGTAAATTTTCCTCATATTCACATCCCTCCGATAGGAGTAGATTTGTTCCGTTTTGTCGAAATAATTTGAAGCCTAGTCCTCTACTCCGCTCAACTGAAAATCTGATCCGTTTTGTTGCATCAACAAATTCACTGTTCAAATAGAAAGGAGGTGGGGTTTTTAATAGCAAACTAAAAGTTATATTTTACCTTTTTATCGACACGATTGTTACATTTTGTGAGCTACAGCACCTTTGCAAATACACCAGAATTCGTGAATAGGCTCTCACAATCGCCCGATTTGAACCCGATCGAAAAATATTGCTCTGTCTAAAGTTCTGTAATTGCGTCGTTACCCACCGATGTAACAATTGTCCCGGTAAAGAAAGAATGAAATAACTTTTTATTAATTTTAACCAAGGCATTTTAACTTTAGTGATAATTGCTCACTGGATTAAGGCGCCTTTACTCGGGTCGATTTCCTAGTAGATTTTTGTCGTTCAACCAAAATCGACCCTTGTAAATGACATCTTAACCGTAAAGTGTAAATGATTTAGGTAGTCAATTTTCCAGTCTACAGAAATCGACCCTTGTAAAGGCAGCTTCGGCCCTTATTTAGTCCCAGAATACAGTGATACGAGGAGAAATGAATTGTTTTTTATAAAGATAAGAAATTCACATCTAGTACGAAAACTTGATTTTTACTCCCATTTTTTCAGTCCGAACCCAGCAGAGATCGCTCGATGAAGGTCAGCTAGTGATCAGTATTGCCAAGTTGTTTAAAAAGTGTTAAAAAAGCACCAAAATACTGAAAATAGCGCAATTTTCCCAAAAAAACACCAAATTTGTGTTCCTATGTTTAATGGTATTTTTGCATATAAAGCTGTATATTCAAATATTTTAAGTAATCACGTAATGTCACTTGTAAATATTTCCAACTAAGCGCAGTTAATTAATTTAATTTGCAAAATGTTTTTTTATTCGTAAAGCAATTTGCAAAACTTCACTTGGTTTCTCTAGCGGCTTTATTTTCATGCAATTGCTTACTTTTGTACAAATGCGCACACCCAGCTAATTAGCAGAATTTTCTATGAATTCCGTGATAGAGACTGTGTGAAAATATTGCGTTTGGATTATCTGGTAGCATATTATCCAGAGGAGAAGCTCGACCAAACACTAACATATGTGTAAGTCAACGGATAAAGTTTTCGGTACGTTTGGAATGAATAAATGAATGAACAAAATAAATACAATGTCACCACAGAATCACGTTTTTATTATTGCCTTGAAAAGGGCACCAAAGAACGAAATAAGCGCTAAACTAAAAAATTTTCGCGTTGTAATTCCCTAAACGCACTTAATTTATTGCGAAAGGCACAAAGCACTGTTGCCAGTTATAGCGATGTCAAATTTGCTCATATACAAGCATGGACAGAGAGTGAGCGCCTACTTAAAGAGCGTAAGCATTACATGCAAATAACGGGTGATTTTTTTGAGGTTAGGATTTTCATGCATTAGTATTTGACAGATCACGTGGGATTTCAGACATGGTGTCAAAGAGAAAGATGCNCTGTGTTTCTAGCAATAAACTGAGTTTCGCAACGTTCCGAACAGATAAAAAAAAGATTTTCCGTACGTTTCAAAGGCAGTTAAAATATGCGTATAANCTTAAAGAGCGTAAGCATTACATGCAAATAACGGGTGATTTTTTTGAGGTTAGGATTTTCATGCATTAGTATTTGACAGATCACGTGGGATTTCAGACATGGTGTCAAAGAGAAAGATGCTCAGTATGCTTTGACATTTCATCATGAATAGACTTACTAACGAGCAACGCTTGCAAATCATTGAATTTTATTACCAAAATCAGTGTTCGGTTCGNTAAATCTAAATTATGTATTCAAATCGATGTGTCCATCGAAACACATAATTTTTCGAATACGGAATAAAGCGAAAAGAATGATCATATCCTTTGTATTCGAAAAAATAAAAACAAAATATGAGATATGATAAAAACTTATCAACTGGGTACCAACTTTGGATACAATAAACTACTGTCTTCGTCTGATATTCTCGTATTTTTTTTTTGTTAAGATTTCTACCGGGTGTGTGGCGCACACATGGGCTTTTTTAAAGAAGTTTTACTTCTATCGCGTGTACGATGTTGCACTCGTGCTATTAAACTAATGCTTTTTTCTCAAGTAGTTTGGCTCAGTGAACGGTTNGAGCGTAACAAAGTGAACGCAAGGTCATTCAAACGTGCCAGTAGAAATTTTTATTTATTTATTTAAGATATAGTACGGTAAGACATGAAGTCTTCTCAATGTACATATTTGACAATTTAATCACAAAAATTTACTTAAGATAACGATAACATATACTAGAGAAGAGGGAAACAAGGGAAAAGAAAGGATACTACACAAAGAGGTTTGTAACTGCCGTTTTGAAGCANCCCCTAAATTTCATTCTGGCTACGCCGATGTATGTAAGTAGTAGCGGCACATTGGGTGAACTAAATGCATACATACAAACATAGTTATGTACAACTGTAGGTATTATTGTACGCGTCTTTCCAGGTTGGTTGAGTGCGGGTGATAAACCCATGTAGAATAGTTAAATACTGTGTACATACCTGCAATTAAAATGGGGAAAAATGTTACAATTTCGGCATGTGAAAAAAAACTCTAAAATACACATAAATTGTGGCTTCCAAGACATGTACGCAGTGATTAGCACAGNCTAGTTTTCCAAGTTGAAACCAAGACAATTAGTTAGATACAACGAAACATGATCAAACTTTCGTTTAAAATATACAAATCTGGCAACATTGTTTAGAGCTAAATTTAATTTATTTTTAGATTCACAATTAAGATTACCATATACCACCTCAAAGTAAGANAACCAAATGAAAGCTAAGGTTTTGGGCTAGACTTGTGGAGACCTAGAATAAAATCGACTGATCAGTTTTTGAGAAAATTCCCGAAATGTATATTTTCAGCAGTCCGATTTTTAGTTTTCAGGCGATAACGTTATGACATGTTTATATTTTATAAATGCAATGACAGCGTTAGATAGCTTGTTNTAGTTTTACGTTAATTGGTAGTCAGTAACATGTATACCATAGGTTTCTTAAAGTATAATATATCTTTGATATAGTGTAATTAATGTGGTCAACGCAAGTTAAACGTGAGTTTATTTTAAATNTGACAGCGTTAGATAGCTTGTTTTAAGACCCTTCTAATGATATCCACATCAATGACATGGACTGAGTAGTGTGGCCTCAGTGGTAGTTTAAAAAATTGCCTTTTTTCGAATTTCAGGCAGCAGCCACGCCCACAAAGGCTTACNCTCTCAAGCACATTGGCGATAAACTACTCAGGTCAAAAGACTCGTGCGCTATAGATAGTGCCTGAGTTTTGGCTGCGTTTAAAGAAAGGCCATTCGTTTTGGCCCAGAATGATATTCTTAATAGGTCATCATTTAATCTAAACACTAATNGAAATCCTGGAACAAAGCCTTCTTAGTTTTTTTTCTACTTTAAGTCCTGAAAGTTTGAACAAAATTAAATGATGGTACGTACAGACGCCACATACATACCAAAGCATCTCGTAGTGGAGACACGAACCAAAACACATTTACCTCTATATCTTTCCAACTAGTAGNTTCTCCACCTAGACTAGGGATGCACAGCAGAGGTGCACGCAGTCGACGTCGCGGGCAAACTGCGAGCACGCGAGCGTGCTAGGCGAGGTGAAGTGAGCTGTAAGGAGATGGCATCGTATACATATTAACCACTACACACTTATTTTCAAGTAAAAATGCGTGTATGCATGTGTACTTTTGCGNCTATGAAGCTTAAATAAATGTTCTGGACACACTCTGCAAGACCTTTCCAACGATATCTCAAACATGTCGATTGGACGTCTGGATAAAAACTTCCAAATCTCGTGTATATATAAGCGAGTCATTTCAGCATGCTACTGTGGCTGCTTTCGTCACTCGCGCGCACTGCCGTCCGCTGTGATACATTCATACATATGTACCTATGCATTCGGTGTGCTTAAATTAAAAAAGCATCACTTAATACCGCACCAAGCATTGAATTTCAATTATTGTGGCTTTTTGGTTTCCCAAAAGCACTAAATTTAGTGCAAAATGCACGACCTTGGCAACAGTGAGCTGAGCACATCAATGCTCAAACAGTGATGCCAGACCAAGTATTGAGTAAATGCGCTATGTATGTTTTTCTTTTAAAGCAAAAGTTCTAATTGGCGAGGGGATTGATTTTTGGTTCTTATATAGAACACTGATAAGATTCACAAACTTATCTTAGGACTTAATTAAAACAATCAACATTATTTGTAGGCGAAAATATTTGTGTTCGTATGAACCCTGCAAAAATCGTTGGACCATGTGGTCTATTTGTGGTATTTTGGAGTACTTACAAAAATGCTCCTCTGTCATGCTGTAGCGGACCAACTCGTGT